GTATATAACTAAAAAGTGCGTAAATTTAATAAGCACAACGTTTGTTGAGTTTATTTTTCGTTAATTTGCTATTAATCTCCAGTTTGTTTACTTTAGTGCGTGCTGACTATGGTTGCCGTATGACATTTTTCGTTTGTACCATAAATTTCCTTTAAATATACCAAAATAGATTTAAATGAAGCATGCTGAAATGTTTTTTTGCTGAAGTTATCGGTTTTGGTAGGTTGATTGTTGAAATGAAAATTTTATAATTTTAAACCTACTCTATTACATTATTTTGGATCAAAGATGGGTGTTTGGAGGAGATACTCTTGTTTTTAATGCGTCACCATGTGATATCAGAAATAATTATGAGAAAAATAACTTATGCATTCCGATATAATTAATTCGTATTTTAAAAAGGTTTTTCTTATCCAAAACTATTCAATTGTATAAAATGCCAAATCGGGGGAAAATGCACCAAGCAGAAAAAAATGCCAAATTAATCACCAGTGGCAACTGTGCAAGTGATCAGCTGTTTCGAAGGTTGCAAGTTTTTGCAAATTTTGCGTTCTCGTACTTCTGTTGATATTTCGTCTCTTTGAGAGCGAATGCTGCTAAATTCTCAGAACTTTTTCTGCTGGAGAATTTTGTCCTCTCAATACGAGTACACACCTTATATCATGATTCAATAATACAAGGTTCGATAAACTGACAGTTGTCTCTCTCGCACCGCTCCCTTAGCAGTGGCACCGTGTTGCTTCTTTGCAAATTTACATGGAAACAGTGTAGCTTTGGTGTGAAATAAAAGTATAAGCTTTTGTGCAATATGTTTATTTGTATATGCATATGAAGCATATTTAACTGATGAAAACGTAAGCATTGGATGTTTACATCAATCTCATAGTAGTCTTATTTTATTTTTGAGGCATTTCGCAGTTTTTATACGGCTAAAGAGCATATAAATTACGTAATTCACGTAGATATATCAATATTACGTTCAACATTTCGTTTAAAATGCCAGATTTCCTGCAAATACATTAGAATTTACGAAAGGAATTTCACTATTAATTGCCTACTTTTAGTACTTTTCTAGTACCATTTTCGCAACAAGGGATTGCATTCTTGCCCTTTCTCTGTCCTTCGTAAATGCAACCTTTTGTAAGGGAGTGTCAAACCGCAGCTGTCAATAATTATCTAACCTTGTATTATTGAATCATGACCTTATATCTGGCCAAGGACTGTCACTCCAGCAACACTCCCCAAAAAGTCTTTGGGGAATTTGTATGCTGCTACAACAACAACAACAGAGTAATTTTGGCGTGACGTCATCGTAGAGTTGACAGCGGAGAGCGGCAAATAAAGCGAAGCGCACATTGGCGCGATTCTGTCGTTGCGAATCCGCAAGCCCAAAAATTACAACAATGCTACCCATACATTTTAATGCGCTAGCGCACACTTGCACGATTCCGTCGCTGCGAATTTTTCGAACATTCAATGTTCTTCTCTATTGACGCGTTCGAAACGCGGCTTGCAGCGTTTTGAAGGCGTCAAAGAAGAAGAAGAAAGGTGTCACAGCAATAAAGGCAAAGAAAAAAAAACGTGTTATGTACAAAAACTAATAAAAACGTTCGTAATAATACACCCCTATTGCGAATGTCGACTGGCAGTAGATAAACGACTATTAAGCGATTAGCGATTATCGATGCTATTGCGAGTGTCGCTTAGTCGCTCAATTAGCGACTGTGAATACTTTTTAATCACTCATCCTTCTATTGCTGTTTTTTAGTCGTTGGAGTTTGCGTTTATAAAATTTACATAAGAAAGTGGTACTATAATGGATAAAAAGTAAGTCAATTGAATTGGAAGTTGTAAAAAATTGTGAAATATACATATGCATGTATGTGTCTGAGTTACAGATCAAAAATTATAAGCAACAAAAGGCAACTTGCGCGGTTGGTCGTACTGATGCAGGAGAGTGAAGACATAGGCAAAGGAATTTCCGGAAAGAGTAGGGTAGGAAGCTGCGCTTCTATTGGAAAAGATACATATACAATATTTCTTGTGCATATAACTCCGGCTACGCCATCCACAGTGTTTTTGCGCAGAACCAACATCAAAAGTTTATACAAAAAAACTGCATAATTTATTAATTGACTAGTGCTCGGAAATTTGAAATCTTTATTTTAAATTAAAGTTGAATTCTTTCAATACACTTGATATGTTATTATGTTAAAGTTTTTAAACTCGGGTCACGCGTTTGGACACAAAAACCGAACATCATTGTACAAAAAACTTAACCGTACCGCATTTCTTATACTTCCATAAAGTTTATTAATGAGGAAAACAGCTTTTCCTGCAAATCATGTAAAGGCTTAAAACCGTGAAGCATCGGGAACGCAACTTCTATTCATAAAACTCGCACATGTACATACACCTTCCAAGTCCAAGGGATTCGACGAATCTCGCAATTCCCTCCTTGCTTTAGCCAACTCTACTAATCTATTAGCTTCCGCATCATCTTCCTCATCACTAAACCATATTTCAACTGTGTCCATTTTTTAAATTTTATAATAAAAGCAATTATTTTAAAAATGATGTAAATAAAACACTCAAGAAACAAATGTAAACAAACAAACAGCTGTTTACAATTCTGTCAACCATTCACAATAGTACAAATTTTTATCGATCAAGTTACACAATAGCAAAATAAAAGATGATCGACTCGATCGACAAATTTCTATTCTACTGCCAGTCGACACTCGCATAGTATTTTGTAAGATTTGGGCACGCCGAGTGCGAAAATACACGAAATAAAGGGAAAATTTAGTGAATTGTACATCGGAAATCGACGCGAAAAAATCGCTCAAGTGTGCGCACGTTTGCGGATTCGAAGTTAACAGCCGAATTCGCAACGTATTCGCAACGACAGAATCGCGCCAATGTGCGCTTGGCTTAAACTGCTCTCTAGTGATGTGCTGAATTGTCGGTACCCAATACTTAAAAATGATTTCGGTACCGAATACTTCCTTTTCGGTACCCGATACCGATTCTTTACATTAAACCTTCGCCATTATATGCATTTCAAGCTTTGGCTAAACCACTTGAACTTATCGCATCAGGGAAATATTATTTTATCAGTTTAACCTTAGTCGATCCAAGGTTCAAAAATGTTTTGACGGATGAAGAAGCCTTTCAGGGGAGAGATTCTGTAACCAGTTAGCGACAAGTTTCGAATCAATATCGCACTTGTTAACCTAAAAATATTTCATATCATACGTCAACAAAACCGATATGGATTCGAAAATTGTCGCTAACTGGTTACAGAATCTGCCGCCAGGCCTACAAAAATGACATCGTCCGATTCAGCTGGAACCAAAATGCTTCAAACAAGCAAGAGTTTCTCTGTATTATCGCCTCGAACTGACATATATACATCTTTCATTTGAATAAGTATTAAAAGCTCTATTGGCTCCTACATTCGGGTTTTGATAGGCGAGTCTCCCCTGAACCGTTTTTCCATATTTTTGGCTTATGTGCGCTTTTATTCGAAACCTAAATGTTTCGGTACAGAGTATCGAGAGCATTGGATAATTTTTAAATCGGTACCGAATATCGATCAATACTCTTAAAAGTATTGACTCAGCACATCACTACTGTTGTCATCTGGACTGTGACGTCAACAAAACAGCTGATTCTGTCAAATTCACTGAGAGCCGATTAGCGGTGTTGCCATCGGCGACACCTTCTGTATTCTCTCCACCCAAGAATGATAGAATACATCGCTGCATCGTGCTCTCCACCGTGTCTTCATGCCAACTGACGCTATTTGGAAATGACAAGAGAAGCTAATTCCTTCTCCACTTGGTCTTTCCATCGCAGTGGGGGCCTCTCTCTTCCTCCGCTATCACCATTGGGTTCCGAGTTGCATACGTTCAGAGCTGGGCCGTCGGAGTCCATTCGAACGGCATGGCCAAGCCAGCGCAGCCGCTGTATGTTAATTCGCTGCACTAAGTCAATTTCGCTTTAATAAATAAAGCTCATCATTTCATCATCGTTGTCCATGCTTCAGCCCTATACCAACACGGGCATGATGAGTGACTTATAGAGTGCGATTTTCGTACGTCGAGAGGATTTTACTCCTGAATTTTCTCCTCAGTCCAAAGTAGCAAGAGTAATTTTGCGTTGGATTTCGGTGTTAATGCTGGTTCCCAAGTAAAAGAAACTCTCTACTTTCTCGAAATTATAAATGTCAACGGTGACGTGAGCGCCAAGGCGTAAAGCGCTGACAGTTTGTTTGATGACATGAGATACTTCGTCTTGTACTCATTGACCACCAGACCTAATAGCTTTCCTTCCTTATCCAACTTGGACGTCGGAGTTCTTGCTGCCGAGGATGTCGATGTCATCAGCATACGCCAGAAATTGCACGCTCCTGAGCGGTTCAGTTCTGCAGCTTTTATTATCTTTTCCAACATCGGATTAAAGAAGTCACATGAAAGAGTCACCCTGTCTGAACTCCGCTTGGTAGCAAACGTCTCGGAGAGGTCTTTCCCAATTCTGACGGAGCTGAGAGTATTGCTCAACGTCATTTTACACAGACATCAGTTTCGCGATGATGCGAAAATCCGGACATCGTGGCGTATACGCAACTTCTTTTAGTCATCATCAAAAAGGAGTTCTCACCCGTGGGTTTGCTGAATTTCTTCACTGGAAGGGATTTTACGTAGCGCACAACCCATTGCTGGGACGGAGGTAGTTTAGCGAGCCGCTTGCTCCTAGACAGACGCCAGCTTGCAGCCGCACTTACGGCGGAACAGACGCTGCAGACTTCAGTATTAACCTTGTATTATTGAATCATGGGTGATTTCCATGTATAACTTTTTTCTTTACAAAATCACGTCAAATTTAAAAAAACCGCTTCTTCGAATTTCTTTTCTCCAAATCATCTGCCTAAAATCCCCACAAGTGTTGCCAAGGGACCGCGTTTACTACCTTCCGACTAAGCCCATATGATTTTCAGCCACCGAACACGCTCTAAGCCAAGTTTGAGTTGACCATTAAAACCGGTTTGCAGACGCAGCTATGCATTTAAGTATTTTCGCTTGCCACTTTGAGTAGTTTACGTTAAGACATTGAACGAAATGAATGTAGCGGTGGCGGTATGAGGATTACTCGAATGCTGTTTTCGCGCTCGTAGACACAAATATTTATGTATTATACCTTTAGCAGTGCGTAAGTGTGTTTATTTATATATGGGTATATGTGTGTGTAAATACCAGCCTATGAAAAATTTTACAAATTAAGTATTGGAATTTTTTATGCTTCAAATTGTGCGCCTGCGTTTTTTGTGATAACTCACAACAACTTTCGCATATAGTGAAATTTATGCAATGCTGAATAGTAAACATTTTACAAATGAAACGAACGTATTATAGAAATTATAAGTGAAATTGTTTAAATGAAACACACAAGTGTGCCTAAGTGCATGTTTGCGTGTGTATGTAGATATTTAATTCGTAGGCTTAAGACACCAACCAGTGGGAATCAATAACCTATATACACATATACATATGTATATATGTATGTATTTGCAGAGAATTTTTTGCGACGACTTTTATACAACATTCGTCAAATGGATTATCAATTTACATACGAAAATTTGCATAAAAAATATTCACATTTTGAAAATATGAAACACAGAAATTTAAATTAACGTGTGGCTGAACTTTGTAAATAGTTTCAAGAAAATTATGTGGCCATTACGCATGCGCATGAAGTCAATTTTTTAGTGGCAATCTAGCGAAAAAAGTCTCAAGTAAACAGTTAATGAAGGCCAATGGCATTGCTGGTAACTTACATATCTTGCGATATTGTTCGTGTCAAACTTCGTTTTACGCAGTATGCAGTGGGAAATATGTACCGACATGAGTTTATATTTTTTTTCATACATACATTATTATTGGTATTGTATGTGCATATTTTAACTTGTATTTGATATGCATAATACATGCCGTGCAAACTTAAAAGTATGAAGTAAAAAAATTCAATACAAATAAATAAAAAAACGTGAACTAGGAAGCCATTCTACGTGCAAAAATGTTGTTAATTTTGTGCTGTTTGAAAAGCTGAAAAAAATCTGAAAGAGTGCTGAATGCAACATTCGGTTCGGCTTATTTATTGATATCGTTATCGATCTTTTTTATAAGTTCCGTTATCAATAACATTTGTGGTATAAACAATGATATTACCAATAATATATTTATCGATATTGTTATCGATAGCTGTATTTGTTGTGACGGTATATTTATGGAGATAGTTGTTATAAATGTATTGACTAGTCGATACGTTATTGTTAGGTTATCAATAAAAATTTCTACTCAATATCGCCATTCATATTGTTACTTTATCGATTTCGTACTAATTTTCCAAAGTTTCTTTAAGAAGGTATTTTAAAAGATACTCTTCTTCCTCTTAAATTTTTCTAGTACAGAAATCATTCTTCATATTCGAAGTCGATAATATTTTATTAATATCAGTTTCAGCCTATTTATCGGCATTGCTATCGAAATTTTTAAAGATATCGTTGTCGATAAAATCTTCAGTATATTTGAGGCCACTTCTGCTCCCACGTCTTCATTTAGACCTTTAGACTTTTGTTGCTCATTTTCGGCAATTTCTCTTTTGATGTTGCCCTTCGCGTTCACACAGAGCAATTATTTTGTACAAAATTGTTGTTGTCAGCTGAGAACGGCCAACTACATGATTCAATAATACAAGGTTAGATAATTATTGACAGCTGCGGTTTGACACTCCCTTACAAAAGGTTGCATTTACGAAGGACAGAGAAAGGGCAAGAATGCAATCCCTTGTTTCGAAAATGGTAGTAGAAAAGTAGGCAATTAGTAGTGAAATTCCTTTCGTAAATTCTAATGTATTTGCAGGAAATCTGGCATTTTAAACGAAATGTTGAACGTAGTATTGATATATCTACGTGAATTACGTAATTTATATGCTATTTAGCCGTATAAAAACTGCAAAATTACCTAAAATTAAAATAAGACTACTATGAGATTGATGTAAACATCCAATGCTTATGTTTTCATCAGTTAAATATGCTTCATATGCATATACAAATAAACATATTGCACAAAAGCTTATACTTTTATTTCACACCAAAGCTACACTGTTTCGATGTAAATTTGCAAAGAAGCAACACGGTGCCACTGCTAAGGGAGCGGTGCGAGAGGGACAACTGTCAGTTTATCGAACCTTGTATTATTGAATCATGGGCCAAGTAGAATTACTCAGACGAACTAGAGCACAAAGCGTGTTGCCCGAGCACGAGCAACTCGGTGCCCTTAACCCTTCCTCGTCACTCCCTCTCCCACAAGTAACGAGTTGCCGCGACAAAAGTTTCTCTGTCTGAACCTAGACTTATTCATATTTACATTAGTTATTCTCATATGTTTATCGATATCATTCATACCTTGATTTTAAGATCTTAAGATGATCTTAAGATGATTTTGACCCTGTAATTTCTTTTAATATCCCTATGTCCCGTGACCCATATGATGCTGACCTTGAATACGGCGCTACCATTGTTTAGAGTTGCGAAGCATTCTGTGCAACCTTTGATCTTAGCATTACCGCTTTCATTGATTGGATGACCGTCTGACTATAAGAGTTGATATTAATCGTGGTGATTGAAAACTTAACCGGCCATTTTCCGATTGGAAGCCTTTACATAACCCCACGTCTTTACTGTAGCCGCTGTATGGAATATGATGAGGTGGAATCACCTCAGTATATGCTACTTGGCTGTCCAGCTCGCGCGGGCATAAGTTTTGAACACATTGAGCCACACTCATTTCTAACTGTTGACGGGATTTCAGGAATAGATATATCCGCTTGCGGAGCGTTATTGGGGGCACGCAGGAATTTTCGGTCACCAACACTTCCTTCCTTTTTTCATTCCTATTTGTCGCCTATCCTAATCCTTTTGTATAAAGGTGACCATCGCCGGCTTGCGAAAATTTTACAAAAGTAGTAAATATCAAGCCATGTGGTTTAATCGAACCCTTTTTTTACAGATTCCGACGAAATCCAATTTCTTTGAGGACCAAGAATCACGATGCTACCAAATACAATTAGTCAGGTAAGCACAAATTTTACGTAATTAGTAAAGACCGCTTGTAAGGTTTGCTCTTTACAGGATCGCGGCAAAGATTGGACTAGCCTCCACGAGGCTGCTGCCAATGGTAATGAGGAAATGATAAAGACGCTACTCGCTGGCAATTCCGATACGACAGCAAAGGAGACCAAATTGGGAAATACACCACTACATGAAGCAGCATCGCGCGGTTTAAGTCGCGCCGTAAAATTGCTTAGCACGCCCAAGATTACGGCCAAGCCAACTTCAAAGAGCAAGCAAAAAAATGAAGCAGCTAAACAGAATCGGGGTCCTACACAAAACGCGTTGTTGAGTATACAGAACTTCGCCGGCTTCACCGCCTTACATTTAGCTGCACAAAATGGACACAATCAAAGCTGCAGAGAATTACTACTGGCAGGCGCCAGTCCAGATGTTGAGAATTATGTAAGACAATGTTTTCGCCCAAAGCGACTCAACTTTTATAACCCAACTTTTTTTTCTAGTATGGCGACACAGCATTACACACTGCCTGCCGGTATGGACATGCAGGTGCCGCACGCATACTCATCTCCGCCTTTTGCGATGTGAACAAGAAGAATCTCAATGGTGACACGCCCCTGCACATAACCAGCGCCATGGGTAGGCATAAGCTGTCACGCATCATTTTGGAAGCTGAATGCGAAATCAATACGCGTAATTCACAATGCGAGACACCGCGCGATATAGCGATACGCAAAGGTTTCGGCAAAATATTGGACATCTTAGACAATCCGCATCGCATACGCAATAAGAAAGCCAAAGCGCCACTGACAGGTGAGGAAGCAGACAAAACGAAAGCGGGACCGTGCACGTCAAAGTCACATTCGAATGAGGTCAGTTGGTCGCCATATGGCTGTCATTACTTTCCCGATATGCGCGCCTTCCCGTCACCCAAACTCGAGACGCTGCCCAAGGAGCCACTGAAACGCGGCGAACAGTACTATTTGGATTTGGCGGGGCACATACGCAAAGGACCCATCGGTATTGGAAATATATGCTATTGCGGTCCTTTCTTCAAGCATATCGAGGATAAAATAAATTCAAATAAGCGGCATTTGCGTAAGTATGTGCACAATGCTAAGGAGCATTTGGATGACAAGGTGCAGGCGCTGGCTGCGCGCACTAATCATCAAATTGAGAAGCTGACACGCACCATGATCGCCGATCGCGTGGAGTGCGAAAATAGACGTTTGTATTTGGAGAATTACTTAAAGCGTGGTGGTCCCTTGCGGCTAACAACTGACGTAACGTCGAAGGGAAGAGAGGCGCGTGAAATGCACGACACGTTGAAGCGCTGCCGAAGCCTAGAACTGCTTGAAAAGGTCGATATGTCGGAAGGCAAAATGGCAAACTCACGAAGCTTTGATCTGCTCGATGCCAATGCGAATGACACAGCTGGCATGCCGCATAGGGACCAAGTGACGTGTTGTCCACATGCTGCTGAAATGCAGAATCATCATTTGAGTGAGGAGTCAAACAACGAGTTCTACGATGTGTCCAAGCGTTTAGGCAGCTTGCTGGCGAAGACCAGCACATTTTTGAAGGTGCCTACGCAAAGCGTACAAAACAATGAACAGCCGCCCGACAAGTCTATCACTGCGGCATTGGGCATCGATACGGACGACGAAGCGCTTTGTACGCGCGTACAAAATATGCATATGAGTCCATCGATCAGCGAGGCATCCAATGCAACGCCGGCGCAGTTGAGTTCCGAAGCTGGCGCGGTTTCCAGCCCCGATTACAATTGCAATTTCCGCACAAAGCATGGCGCAGCGAAACGCAAAGCGATTGCTGCGACGCCAGAAGTAGTAACTACCGCCTCGTCAACGGCTTCGCCACCTGAACGGTCGCACAGAGATAAGCCGATTACCGAGCGGCAGCTAGAGTATTTATATGATATACAGAAGCGTGGCAGCGTCATACAGAATGTGATAAGCGCACTGCGCAAGAGTCATCAAAGGGCGGACATCTTGACGGATGTGAAAACACGCAATGAGTCAGAGTACGTACACGAGGATAAATTGGGTTACAAAGATGAGCTGTTTCAGGTGCAACGCTTGGCTGAAAACGATAGTAAGGAGGCGGCGATGTTGAAAGAGGTCGGCCTGCCGCTTGATATTCACGGCACGTCCGTTGGAGAACCACATAAATTTGCG